TCTCCAAACCCCTTTCTACAAGGCTGTGCCCATCCCCCGAGAGGAAGCACAGCTCCTCCCGGCACCCGCAGTGCCATGCCGGATCAGGATCAGCATCGATCTGAAACCCTTTGTAGCACCTGCCCCGTTTGCTCAGGGCTGGCTCCTCCGTGCTCGGGAGAGCAAAGCTGTCTGGTTTGAACAGCAGCTCCTCCCAGTTACACCGAGCTGGAGCAGCCGGAAAACAGCTCCGCATCCCCCCAGGAGCAGCTGCGGTGCAGGAACAGCTTCCCTCCACCCCAGCTTTTTTTCCAGCCTCACCCGAGGGGCTGCACGTGTTTATTGCACCCCCCGGGCCCCTCCGCCGGCAGTTCCAGGCGAGGAGGAAAGGGCCTGTACTGGTTTCTGAATTGCTCCAGCCAAGGCAGTTTCCTTGGAGCCTCCCTGCTCCGCCGGGGAGTTTGCAGAGCTGCTGGCTCCTCTTCACCGCAACAAATGGCACCTGCGGCTTCTGTGAGGGAGGAACAGGCAGGGGGACCCAGCCTGGGTGTCCCAGGCCAGCAGAGAACCAGGATCTCCTCCATTTCTGGTCCTCAGTCACCACATCCCACTCCTAACGGTCCAAACGTCCACGCCACGAGCAAACCACTCACCCTGGGCAGGACGTGACGAGGGGAAGCCGCCTGCCCAGCCCCACGAGCACGGCAGAGCACGGCCAAATCCTTCCGCTCGCTTTGAACCCCAGGGCAGGGGATCTCTGACCAGAACAGCACCACAGGCAGAAACTGGGCAAGGTGGGGGCTGCCCGCACCACTCGCCATCCCTCCGCATGCTGCTTGAGGAGCACCAGGCTGTGCCGTGGGTTTAGATTAATAATTTCTTTATTCATGTAAAACAAACGCAAGTATTTATATAAACACTGACATTACAAAGTACTGGAGCAGGTAGGGGCAGGAAGGAGGAAACAAAAACCTCTACAGATGCTTCTAATACTGTCCCACACAAGATCAAACGCTCTGTCCCTTGGATAATCACTGATACGATAAACCACTTTCAAGTCACGAATAAAAGTCTTTGTTTTGAGATACGTTGCGCTCTTCGGGGCGACGAGGAAGGGGGCGTGGAACGTTTTTTGGCAGATCTCCTCATAAAGTCAAGATATTGCTGCACCATTAATAAAAAATATATGCTTCTCTGTAAAGCATTAAAAAAAATATCCCATGGATGGCATTGTGGAGGCTTCAGTGGAGAGGCAGATATCCCAAAATGCACTGGCATCTTCTCCCGGCGCTTCCCAGGGGTTATTTCTTGGTGGTTTTGCGAATCAGTGCCATTCTCTGTAATAAGGAAAGGAAGAACGTGGGAAGTCGAGTGTCTCAGACAAGGCTACTGCAAAACAACCCGCAGCTGCGCAGGAACAAAGTAGCTCCAGCTCTCTCAGGACACTGCCTGACTCGTTTCCACACAGGTCTTTCAAGTCCCTTGGAATCTTAACATGGTTCCAAGGAGGAGCCAGAGGGAAAGCAAGTGCCTGTGCTCCCCCCCTTGACACCCGGGGCTGGTGAGGGGCGATGGGATTCAACACGGGGTCAAATCCCAGTTTGAAGCCTCCTCTCTGCCCAGCAGCTGCTGCAGGAGCTTCAGGAGGGGAGATGATAAAACATCATCCATGAACTCCCACGGCTCCTGCAGGGCAGCTCCTCCCTGGCTCCGACTATGAACCTAAAAAGCCACGTCCCAATTCAGGTGAAGCCAAATTAAGGTGGGAAAAAAACCACGGAGCTGAGCAGCTCCGACCTACAGCTGATATCCCAGGACAAGGGGCTGCTCTCTGCTACACTCCCCCAGGCCTTTGGGCTTTTTGCAGCCATTCAAATGCTCGTAGCAGTGAGCAGCCGAAGCTCCCTACCCTTCCACACAGACATGGCACGTGCCGTACGCCGCCGCAGACGTGACACGGCCCCAGGAACTCGAGCCACAGCCCGTCAAAGAGCCCCGTGGTTCCTGGAACATCCAAACTCCTGGAGCAGTTCGAGGGGCTCCACCAGCACTCAACACCCTCATGCCTGGGCAAGGATTTTCTAGCGACCCAGGGGAGCCAGCGGCGTGTTTTCAGTCCCTTCCGCGCAAAGATGGAGCACACGGCCTGCAAGGGGCAGCTGACAAGTTATAGTCTGCAGCTCTCGGCTGGTTTTTAACCCTTCCAAGCCGGGCTGCCCTTCGGACAGGGAGTACTGCTGCTTCTCTCAGGGCACACTCAGCACTGCACCACCACAGAAGAGCCAGAGCAACCTCAATCCTCTCTGCACAAACAAATGAGGAGACTCTGAAAGTTATTTCAAGCCCAAACCACTTGGAAAAAGCTACAAATTCATGTCGTGCCAGGAATCCAACACCATCCGTTCCATATCAGACTTCTACCACATGACTCTCGGTGTCACTGAGGGCTCCTTACCTGTTTGTGAGCTTCTGTAGTGCAGGCTTTTTTGTAGGGCCTGATTTCTTCAGAACCAAAGCCTGGGATCCACATGTTCCACTGACGCTCTGGAAGAGAGCGCACAGGTCAGCACGCTCCACCCCACCCACCCGCGGCAGGAGCGACCTCGCCATCCCGAGCGTCGGAGTTGCCCGGGGCCAGTGCTAGAGACGCGCTGGTGACCCACGTACCAGCTACGAAAGCTTCACGACAGCGGAGTAGCAGAGGGCTGCACAGCATGAAACATGGAAAGATGCAGGCCCTGCACTAAGGACCTGCCACCACAGGCTGAGGGACAGTTACAGACCACCCAACTGCAAAATGTGGAGAGGGGATGGTTGGGGCAGACCCTCACTTCATAATGTGTACCAACAAATTAAGTACCAACAAATATGGAGCTACTCTCGGATTTCCACCCCAACACCGCAGCCATGCCCTGATTTCAGGGCATGTGCCCAGCTCTCAGTTGAGGGAAATAAAAAAAAAAAAAAAAATCACTCACCAAGATGTAACTGGACATCTTTCACCTCCAGGGTGTTGGACTTGCGATGCCGCGCAAGCTGGCAGGCGGCCGTCACCACGCTCTCTATGAAATCGTCAGCGATCTGCAACAGCATCTGTGGCAGAACGAGGACAACAACCGGCCCCGTGAGTACCGAGCAGCTGAAATGATGTGGAAAGTAGGAAAAATGACCCCTCAGGAGCTGGTGTTTCAAAGGTGTTTGCTACAGCTGCTGGTTTAAAACCCTTTTGGACACCGGGACGCAGAAACAGACGCGGATGGCTGAAGGCTGCAGCGAACACGAGAACACAGAAGCGTAACACGAGCCACCTCTCCCTGCTCTGGGCAAAGGGCCACTGGTCTGTGAAAATCCCAGATTAGTTCTTCCTGCAGCCCCTGCCATGGGTTGGTACCTACTTCCTCCACGTCTTCATCCAGCTGCTCATTCGGATCCACCTCACGCACCAGGTCCTGCAATTTCTTCTTGGTTAAAACCTGCACGTGTGGGAGAAGAGGAACCATTTACTGCCCCGCTTTGGCAAAGCAGCTGCCCACGCACAGCCCCAAAAGACCTCCTCCCCCGGCGCCCCAGGCCCAAGTCACGCTGTTGACACAGCCTATCAGTTCAGGAAGGGCAGAGATAAGGAATGTCAGGTGTTAAGGAGTCATTTTCAAGCACCAGTGGTTGCTCTGCACGGGAAATGGAATGCGGCAGGCCAGGATAAATAAGTCTCCTGCACTAAACTGGAACTGAAATGCCACTGGCTGCTGGCAAGAGGGGACAAAGGCAAAAGGAGAAGTCTTAAGAGGCAGACAACGAGTGCAAGCAACGTATCAGTGACTAAATTTGTGCTCAGGGCACGAAGGAAGTGTTTTCCATGGCTCTGGCACTTATCAGCTTCAGTGTTTTAAATGGAAAACAGAGAGGTATGTGAGTGCTGGGTTATTCCAGGGCAGAAGGCAGCACCCTCTCAGCCCAAATATGGCACGGAGCAGAGATCTTCCTGCTGCTGAACAACAGCAGGACACTTAAGTCTTACAGGATATGGATGAAGGAATCACCACTGATCTGTCAGCCTGGTCAGCCAAGCCAGACACACGTGGGGAATTCCTGCCCTTCCTGGTTCCCTTCCACAAACGGTGGAACTGCTGTGCCTGTGTTTGTGCCAGGGGACCAGTACACTTCCCAGAGAGGTCACAGTGCCAGTGAAGACCACAGAGAGATCAGGGTGCACTCGCTGTGCAGCGTTTTATGCCCAGCCAACACTCCACGTGACAAGCAAACACACAGGTCAGCAGCTCCTGGCGCCTCTTGCACCACCCCTGAGATGGAGGCTACAAACCTGCACTTTTCTTTTTCCCCATCTAAACCACATTTGAAAAGAATTTCCCAGTCACATCTCCAACACACGTTTTCCTGAGACTAAAAACCAAAACAAAACACTTTTACATCTACAGCATCTGTACTCCATCCAGGCTCAAGGTGAAGGGAAGAAATACATGAAGGTGTTTCAACTGATGCTTTAACAAATATCAAGTTTTTGCTGGTATTTTAAGGAAAGAGGAATTAAGTCACAGGCAGGTGTGAGCATCTCCCCTGTTGTCCTAAGGCTGGGGATGAAATTACCTGGTTGCTCTCAGGACTGAGCCGTCCTCCTCCGCTGGGCGTCCCAGGCATCTTTGCCACGGTGGTGCTGTTGGCCATGGAGCTCTGAGGGGGGGTGCTGGCTGGTTCTGGCTTTATCGAGGAGAAGTTGGAGAGGTTGATCAGGGTAGAAGGGCCAAACTGGTTCATAATCTGTTGGGCTTTAGCTTTCAGATCATAAAGCTTATCTAGGTCTTGCTTCTTCTTGGGGTTGTGGGGACCCAAACCAATCAACTGGAAAAGGAAACAAAGCCACAGTTAGCAGACAGAGATGGAATTCAACGAGGCGATCATGTCTTTGTCCAGAGCAAACCGCAGAGTCTCTGCAGGGCCCAGAGGTTCGCAGAAGATCAGGTCTCTCCAGACGCTGCAAGAAGGGAGGAGTGATGTTTAACAGAAGAGAAAACCCTCCCTGGCAGACAGAAGATGAATCATAGAATCACGGAATGGTTTGGGCTGAAAGGGACCTCAAAGATCACCCAGTGCCAATCCGCCTGCCATGGGCAGGGACACCCTCCACTACACCAGGCTGCCCAAAGCCTCATCCAACCTGGCCTTGAACACTTCCAGGGATGGGGCATCCACAACTTCTCTGGGCAACCTGGTCCAGTGCCTCACCACCCTCAGAGGGAAGAATTTCTTCCTTAGATCCCATGGAAATCTCCCCTCTTTCAGTTTAAAGCCATTGCCCCTTGTCCTGTCACTCCACATCGTTGTCCAAAGCCCCTCTCCAGCTTTCTTGTAGCCCCTTTAAGCACTGGAAGGTGCTGGAAGGTCTCCCCGGAGCCTTCTCTTCTCCAGGCTGAACAGCCCCAACTCTCTCAGCCTGTCTCCATAGCAGAGGTGCTCCAGTCCACGGATCATCTCTGTGGCCTCCTCTGGACACGCTCCATGCAGTTTGCCATGGAAGCACAGCGGCTGTGCGCAGCGAGGCTGTGGCGCCACCCTGCCTGCTCGTTCCTCGGAGTGACCCTCAGCCGCATCCACCCCTCGTCCTCCTGCACACATTTCACTCAGACCACGAACAGCTTCAAGGAAGAGACCACACAAAGGAGATTTAACTGAAGGCCACAGCTTGCTCCCATGGCAGCAACGCAGGAGCAGCATTCACGTCTTCACCTCCGCGCTCCACGTGCCTGAGACACCGGTCAGAAGATGACAAGGCTCAGGCTCCCTCGGGTGCCTGCTGCAGGGTGGAGGTTCCTTCCCAGCAGCACCACACCTCAGGCCTGACTCGCAACGATCCGTCGATGAGGGCTCGACAGCACAGGATTCCTTTTCAGTTCTGGGAGCACAAGTCTGGGTACTGGGAGGTAATGTGACGGGGAAAGACACACCAGTACCCACCCCTTCCATTTGTTCTTCCCACAGCAGGCAGCCAGCCACAGGAAATGAAGCCAGGTTTACTGGGCCGTTAATGGGGAACGAGGCAGCTTAACTGCCTTAACCTTAGATCTTCCAGGTCCACCCTTCGGTGCCTGAAGTTATCCAGGTTATTTGCCACGGAGCTAACAGACAGATTGACTGGCAACTGCTATATTTCACAGCTAAAAGGGTCTAAAATCCAGGCTCAGTGAAGCTCTGCTCCGTCCTCACCACTCCATGAAAGGAAACTCATCCAAACCCTTGGCCTTCTGCCCCTGCAAGCGGTGTGGGCAGCAGCGACAGCTCCGCCACGGGAAATGGGCATTTAAGGAACGATTTGAATCCCTCAGTGGTGGCCCCAGCAGCTGCTGGGGGCCCAGAGGTGGGCGAGAAGCAGCTGCTGAGAGCAGACTCTGAGAAGTCTCTTCTGAACAGCCCGTGCACCACAGGGTGAACTCACTCATGGGAGAAGAAGAGAGTTTGAACAGCTTCACGGCACGTTCACAGACAGGGCGAACGGAGCTACAAACACCTGAGCTACCAACAGGAGCAAGCGTTGTTAGTTTGGATTAATTCACACCAAAATACAAACCAGACATCACACAGCTGCTTTAGTGCTTCACTCCAAGGCACACTCATGCACTGCCACACCTCCAGAGGCTCTCCCTTTAGGAGAGTTTATACCCACGACATGCTTCTGTAGCGCCCTCAGCGAGTTTCTAGCTCAATTTTAACTGAATTAACGCTGGAAAACCGTTACACTCACACCCTAGAACCCCTCAGCTGGCATTGCTGGGCGAGGAGCTCAGCACAAGATCAGGAGGGACTTCAGTGTGTTTGGTTTTAGCTTAGGCTGATCTCAGGCTGGTCACAATCCACAAAGCAGGAATTCTCACCCACCGTGCAGGGGAGGAAGCTCCAAAATCCTCGAGCAGCAAGCACTTTATCAGCATCAAGTAGCTTTATTAATTTATTTCCGGATCTGACCGCGCCTTCCGCATGCCGTTAAGCTCACCAACCACAAAACTGAGAGGACGAGCAGATTCCCGGGACAAATCCCACATGCCGGCCCCGGCGGTTACTTACAGCTATCTGAGTGTCTAAATCTTTAATCACATCCGCGACCGCTGTGGGGCCAGTGAGCGGAGAGGCCATCTCCCCAGACCTTCCCAGCAGGTCAGCTGCCAGCGTTAACCTACTCTTGCTTCCTCCTCTTCCATCCAACTCCCATTCCTACAGGAATACCAGATATTTTTCGTATCACCCACTCCATTGCAAGGCAGAGCGCACGTTGTCCTCGCTATGCCATGAGAGAATCCATCTGTTGGAAGATATTACACCATCAGGAATGGCACGTGAGCGTGCACCGCTGTGGAAGACGGGGTGTCTCCCAGGATCCTGAAGCGGGAGGAGAAATTTGGCCCAATTCCAGTTTTCTGTCAGGAGACAGAGTGCGGTGGTGTCAGCAGCGACGCGCAGGTCTCTGCGGCGGCAGCTTCCCTCTGCAGCCCGGAGCACCACCGGCCCCTGGCACGTGTGGGCACGGCTGGCACGGGGTTGGAGCTGCAATTAGAGTCTCGTTAAAGCCAGACAACCCCCCAGCGTGGTCCTGGGGGTGCTCAGGGGGGCTCCCACTCCCATTAAGACATCACGGTTTTCACCAAATATTGAGAAAGAAAAGGCCCACCCAGTCCGGCTGTCTCTTTATTGCTAA